TTTTTTGTTATTATTTATTATTTTTTTATTTTTATTTTTATCTCAAGCCTTACTTTAAATCAAGATACAATAATTCCGTAGGAGCTCTTGTTAATAGCTGCTTGGTATTAGCAGTTGTGGAAGATAAAGTGCATCACTCCCTGACTATGATTATGATACACAGTTTTCAGGTAGCCTTTCCTTAGTGATCCTGTGGGTTGCTTGTTGCAACTTAGTTCACTGTACATGACACTGTATAGTTTTTCTTTGGGAAAATTAATTCTAATGTTCTTATATGTTTTGTTGTGTAGTTTTAATTATTTTGTGTTTAAAATAAGATAATGAATATCTTTCCCCTCCCTATTTTCAATAGATTTATATTTTATAAACCTTACTCATATTTCCTTGTGGACATATTTCCTTGGGGAAATATCCTACATGGATAAAAAAATAGATGTCTTTATAAAAGAAAAATTCATTTAAGCTCAAACTAGAGCTCAATCTTTATTACAGGCCTCATTGTCAGAAGTATTCTAAAATTGTCTTTAATACTTGTGAGAAACTCTCCTAAAATATACTTTTTCTAGTGCTGAATGAAAAGACTACATTAGATTCTTTACCAGAAAATGACTCCCTAAAGAGCCAGAGGTTATTTAATGATTGTGGGCCCAGCAAATCATAAAAGTGAGGTCCTTCTCTTGCAATACAAACTAAATCTACCCCACAAAATACACTGAGAGGTCAGTAGAAGTCCCTCCAGGGACCCGTATCATAAGAACCATGCACTCAACTCCATATATTAAAGTGAGGAATTAAGAAGAGGTTTTCCAATAGTCTTTCTCCACTACTGCTTTATATTTAGAGATAACAGAGGCGGTATTTTAACAAGATTACGGAAAAGTTTTACATTTACTTTTAAAAATTCCTGTTATGCCACAATATCACAGCTGTTTCCATTTTTCATCTACTGTTTGCATATTCGTTTTCTTATGGTAATCACAAAAACCTGTGATTGTGCTGATGCGATCTTTTATTTCCACTTTAGGTAAACTTTTAAAGATAACTATTATTTCGTGCTCTCTCTCGCCGGAACGCAGCTGAGGACACGAGGAGTAGCCGACCCCGGGAAAAACGACGATTTAGCTTGAGGACAGGCGTCCGGGAGAGAAGGTGAGGGCTGGCCGTACCGCGGCCTCGAGGCCCCGCCTCCCCGGGCCCCACCGTCCAGGCCCCGCCTCCCCGGGCCCCGCCCCGGCCCGCCGCCATGTTGTTCCCTTGGTGCTGGACGTGAGTAGGTGGAGTTGGACCCCGGCAGCGCTACGGTCTCCTGCCCGCGGGTCCCCGACCTGCTCTCCTCGTTGCACTTGGACGGGCCAGCCGGGAGCTCCCCGGGCGTCCTCTGTGTGGCCACGAGGTGAGTGGAGCGCGGACGCCCCTCGGGGCCGGGCGGGGGCCGAGGCCGGGGCCGGGCGCGCCAGCGTCAGGGTCTGGGGGGGGCTCATGGGCCCCGAGTGCGGCCTGGCCCTCCGGCAGCCGGGGCGGGGGCTGCGCGGGGCCGCGGGGCAATCGTCCGTCTCGGGACGGGGGACGGCTTGTTGCCTCCTGTCTCCTACTGACTGACGCAGGAGAAAAGACGAGTTCCCACACCCACACAACCCGAGGAGAGGGACACACACCCAAACACGCGGGGACACATGGAGAGACGCCCAAACATCTGGAAGACACACGCAAACACCCGGGGAAAGAGAGATCCATAAACACCTGGGACGCACACGGACTCAAACGCCGGGGGAGAGCGACACGTACGCACGTTCTCGGGGAGGGGGGGAGAGGTACACACACAACCCCCCGGGAAACAAACACACACACACACACACACAGAAATACACCCAGTCCCTCGGGGACACACAGATGCACCAGCCTTTCCCCCAACCATTCGGGGACACACACACATCCACACACCCCAGCCCACCCAGACAAACCGTACCCCCGAATGATTAACGTAGAGGAAGCAAAGGCACTCACAGGGTTTGATTTTGGCGACCTCTGACAGGCTGCCCGGGTGAACATTTGCCAATGTGTTAATGACCACTCAGTTAAGGAGTTTGGAATGTGGAGCCAATTCTAGGGGCTGGCGGCATTTTGGGGCATTATCTGATTGAGACTCTGGCTAAGGTTTCAGAATCGTGTTCCTTTCTTCCAACTTAGTTTGTCAAGAGGCAAGATGAGAATTTAAAGTGCTGACCAAATAGCGGGGTGGTATTAGTTGTCTTTTTGTTGTTTTTCTTTTTAAGTGATGATACATCCCGTGACCATGGTTCTTTTGAGGAATGACTTTTCTGCTGGTTTCCAAAATGTCATGTGATCACAGTCTTTTTATAAGATTTCAGCAACCTGATAAAATCAATAGAATTTGATAGCTTTTTTAAAATTAAAGAAAAATTTTTACATGTTTGTCATTGTAGTGGAAAATCCCTAAATTGCCTGTAATCTCAGAAACTGTTTCGTGTAGCAGAACTAGAGAGACGAAGGAAACCCAGAACTGTTCGGGTTTTTTTCAGCCTTTTAGGAAGGCTGTGCTTAGTTTCTCTTTCAGGAGCTTATGTCGAAATTATAATCACGACTTGCCCATAACTCTCAGTATCTTATTTTGATCCCCAAATCTAAGACAATGGTGTGATCCGGGTGCTTTTAGTATTTTTGTGTAGTCGTTGTAGTTAAATTCCTCTTGCTTATACTAAAAAGTTTCTGGTTTGGTGACTTATTTTGGAGAGTTTTCTGATCTGGGGATATTTTTGGTTTATCATTTGTGAGGTTATAGTAGACCAACGAAAACTAAGGAGAACATCATTGGCCTTGACTCTCTTAGAGGTTGGGGAAATACGTTAGTGCTCTTCCTCTTTTCCATCCTCTCGTGTCTTTTCATTTCTTTCTATCCTTACCACTCCTTCCATGTAGACTACAGTACTCTGGAGGCCTGAAGCTAAGTTCCTTTGGTTCTAGAAGTTAATTTTTAGCCTCCCCTCATTTCTTACCATTTCTTGGGCAGTCACTCTGGCACTGGATGTTATGTGCATATAAATCCTGTTCATACATCATTTCATTTAATTCTCACAACAGTTCTCTGCTATTAGCTCCATTTTACTCGTGAGGAATTTGCTGGGGGCATAGGAAGGTTAGGTCTGTTTCCCAGGTCACACAAGTAGGGAAGAGGGCAGAGGCAGGATTCGGGGCAAGCCTTTGTGAGTTTTGCTTTGTTTTCTTTTTTTAAGATTTTTAAATGTATTTATTTGAGACAGAGTGAGAGCGAGAGCGATCATAGAGGGAGAAGCAGACTCACCGCTGAGCAGGGAGCCTGATGTGGGTCACCATCCCAGGGCCCCGAGATTATGACCTGAGCCGAAGGCAGACGCTTAACCGACTGAGCCACCCACGTGCCCCCTTTTGTGAGTTTAGAGTGGTAGTTCTCACCGTGGGGACATTTGACGATGCCTGCAGGTGATTTTGGTCCTCACCTGAGAGGGAGTGCTGCTGGCTGGCATCCAGTGGGTGGAGGCTGTGGACGCTGCCCAACATCCTACAGTGCACAGCACAGCCCTCCACAACAAAGAGTTGTCTGACCCAAAATGTCACTAGTGCCAGGGTTGAGAAACCCTGCTTTACAGCAGTCTAACTTTGAGGCTCACGTTTCAGCGCTTCTGTAGTTCTTCAAATGCAATGTCATTTTCCTATTTAGGATACCTCCTAATCATTTTAAGAAAGAACAGTGGGGAAAATTTGAGAACTTAAAGAGATTTCCCTTGACCAAGAGGCATATTCATTCATTTGAAAGACTGAGGAGTGAGCAAATAATTTCTGATAACAGAATCTTTTTTTTTTTAAAGATTGATTTATTTATTTTAGAGAGTGTGCATGTACGTGAGCAGGGGAAGGGGTGGAAGGAGAGGGAGAGAAAATCCTCAAGCAGATTCCCCACTGAGTGGGGAGCCTCACGCAGGGCTCGATCCCAGGACCCTGAGATCATGACCTGAGCTGAAATCAAGAGTCGGATGCTCAACTGACTGAGCCACTCAGGTGCCCCCAGAATTTTTTTTTTTTTTTTTTTTTTTTTTAAGATTTTATTCTTTTATTTTAGAGAGAGAGAGAGCATGCAAGCAGGGGAAGGGCAGAGGGAGAGGGAGAGAGAAGCCCAAGCAGACTGTGCTGAGCACAGAGCCGGCCGCCGGGCTTGATCCCACAACCATGAGATCATGACCTGAGCTGAAACCAAGAGTCAGATGCTCAACTGACTGAACTACCCAGGCGCCCCCAGAATCTTTTTTTTTTTTTAAAGGCAAAAGTGTCAAAAAGAGCTTGAGAGCCATTCAGAGCTGTTGAAATAGACTTAGGGGTTTGGTTTCTGTATTATTCCAGTTGTCAGTAAACACTGGGCAGTCTGTTGGGCACTGATATGAAGGTGCTGGTGATATGAAGGGCAATAGGGAGTTGCCAACTCTGCGAAGCTTATAGTCTGTCTAATCATAATCGTAAGATCAGATTCTGACTCTGTCCTGGAACAAAATTTATTGCCTGGGCTACTCAAGGTCAGGGGCTAGGGGTCATTAAGAAACAAAATGTCTGTATACCCACACACGGTACCTGTAAGGGCGTTTACTATGGGTGGACTTAGGTGAAATGGGGAACAGTTGATGTGTTTCTTTTTTTTTTTTTTAAGATTTTATTTGTTTATTTGATAGACATCACAAGTAGGCAGAGAGGCACGGAGAGAGAGAAGCAGACTCCTTGCTGAGCTAGGAGTCCGATGCAGGGCTCAATCCCAGAACCCTGAGATCATTACTGAGCTACCCAGGCGCCCCTGATGTGTTTCTGATAGCTTTTTAGGTTGACCACATCTGAATATTTACAAGAATCAATATTTACAAGGAGCCATTCTTGTTGAGCATAAAATTTTCCTTACATTTAGCCTCAGTAGGCAGTAGTTACGCATGCATTTTATCATGGAAATCAAGAAATAAATGGTGAAATTTTTAAAAATGACTTTTATATCATTTTCTTTTCTTTCTGTTGTTTTCCAGCCATTTTCACCATACCTGTCTAAGACTAGGCCCTTCAGTATATGTACTACTTCATTGTGGTGGTGGATGTAACTATTAGGCGAACTCTGGGGGTAAGTGATTGAGAGGAGGAGTCAAAAAGGTTTGGCTCTCTGTTTAGGAATCACTGTGAAAGTGTTATTCATGCAGCCAAGATGGCATCTTTTGTGGGTAGCTTTGCTTTTGACTCATGCTGATGGATAGCATGTTCTTTGTTAATTACAGATTTCTCTGTCTCTTATCAGGAGTTATCTCCTATGGGGTAAAGGGGATGCTAAATTGTACACCTAGAAATGATTGCTATCATATGGGATCTAGCAAAGGGATATATATGTTCTTTCCTGATTTAAAGGGTTTCATTCTGGGAAGGGTCAAGAGGAATTGGTGCAGGAAGAACATGCACTGGCCTCAGAGGAGTCTTGCTCGATCTATAGTTGGCTTGCTGCTCTGGCCAAGTTAGGTCACCACATTTCTTTCTTTGTAAAATGGGATGGTTGTACTTTACAGTCTCTATGAGATTATATGACACCAAGTAGAGACATCATATTATTGGCTTCCAAATAGTTCCTCTCCAGGCAACATGCTGGTTAAGCAGCAGGAGGGAATAAGCCAAATAGAAGTGTGCTTGTATGTTTGAGAAACGCGTCTCACTTGAAAGCTAGCTAGGTAATAAATTTGTTAGTCAAAACCGGGGACCAGAAAATAGGGCTTGTGACTAAGTAGGTCATCAACAGAGAACATTTATTAAGGATTAGGGTGGGGGGGGCGATGAACTCATGCCTCAGGGAGTTGGGAAAGCTGTGATGCAGAGGCACGTTCTGGATACCTGAGGGAGGAGGCCTGGGGGACCGAAAGCTGTGATGCAGAGGCACGTTCTGGATACCTGAGGGAGGAGGCCTGGGGGACCCGGGTGTATAAGCAGGTGGAGGAGGCCTGGGGGACC